AAAATGTTAGGCGTCCTTTTATGATAGAACTTAGAATAGGAACAGGTCACTGAAACATTTATACATAATAAACTATGTGGAAAGAATTGATTTCAGAATATGGATAGATGGCAAGATACACATATATATACACAAACATAAGCATATATAACAAGTACATTATATATAGATTATCATGATATAGATTGACATATCAGTCTATATCAGTGATTCTTTCCACATATATACATGCCTATGAGACTATACTGTGAGTCTAAGACAGTTAAGCTCTTTGGGTCACCTCTCCCTTTGCATCAAATGGGTTAAAAATATCACCACTACCAACAACAAAAAAACCCCAATGTATCATTTAGGACATGTGATCATAAACTGTTGCATATTGAATATACCTGACAGTCTTTATTTACTAGCCCCAAAATAACTTTATGAAAAAACCCCACAGATAAATACAAATGACTGTAAACAACAGTATTTCCCCTTTAAGTAATTTTAAAACTTCCACAGTATATTTGGGATGTCTTTTCTGAATATGAATGGCAGATTTCATCAAACAGAAAAATTTTAAGTACTGTATGTAATCCACAATGCATGGAGACATTATAATTTGGACCATGCTATGGAAATAAGCCAAGTTCCTTCTAAATATTAAATTCCTTAAAAATAGTTAAGGTAAATGTCTATATTATAGTTATTTCACTCAATATAAATTCTACCGAGATTATCTTCAATTTGATTTAGCAATATGTTTTTCCTACTCTAGATTACAGATTACACAGTCAATAACATTAGTGATATTCTTCCTCAGAAAGCAGGAAGAGCCTGCAAATAGGGTAGTGTTTTGTTTTTAAGTTGTCAAACAGAAAACAAAAAACCCCCCAAAATCAGGAAAAGTCTTTATTCAATACTGCTAGTATAGCCAATAGGAAAATGCCCACCTCTGCCCCCAAAATCCCACCAATGCTACACTGCATTAAAAAAAAAAAAAGAATCTAAGGAAGAAACCTTTTGGAGTATTTCTAGTTTTCTCTTCACAGCAGTCTCAAAAATAATTAAGACTACAAAGCATTTTAATAGTATCTTCATAAAGGATAATTTTTTTAAAGTTAAAATTCCAACTATTTGTCGTATTTAAAATGCTGGAGTTGCTGTCATAAAATAAAATAAAAAACCAATAAAATCAGCTTAAAATAAATTTATTGTACAATACAAAAAGTAGGCATACTAGAAAATAAAAGATACATTCTTAAATATACAAGGCAAATGAAAGCTAAATAACACAAATATTTTAATCCAAACATGAAGATTAAAATGCACAACATTTATGCTAAAAATAAAGTATTTCAAGAAGGATATGCATTTCAAATGAAATGTTAATGATGAATGAAAAGAAAAACAAATATGCTAACTTCTAAGTGCTTGAATATCAAGAATCAGTAACGGCATAAAACATTAAATCCAACAATACTGGGTATTTTTCAAGAACTGTATTTGAAAAGGTGTTAAAAATACTGAAGGAATTAAAATAATGTTAAATCTGGCAAAGATTTTCCCTTTTATAAAAAAGTAAAGTTGGAGGGCCTATTCACAAAATCTTCCCTCATCTTCCATTTATATCTTTCTACAAAAATTTCTAGATGTTCACCTTTAACAAGATTCTATAAACACAGTAGCTTAAATAACACTACTTTACTGGTAAGTGTGCATTTAAGCCTTACCAACATAATAAAAGTGCCACAAATCAACAATTTTGAAATCTATACAAATATGAACACAAAAGGAAACATTAAATTTTCATTTTAAAAAGCAGTGTTGGGGAACCTTTTTTTTGCCAAGGGCCATTTGGATATTTTTAACATCATTCGTGGGCCATATAAAATTATCAACTCAAAAAAAATTAGCTATGAATAAAGCTCCTGGATTTATTAAATTTTGAGTCTCACCTGTGGTTGCCTTGGCAGGGCCAGGCCAAATGACTTTAGGGCCCATGGGGCCAGACGTTCCCCACCCCTGTTATAAAGTTACAGATAAAATAGTTAAAATAAAGCCTTTTTTGCAAGCTGTCAAATAAGGCATTCAGTACCCCAAACCACAAATGGCTCTGGTGGAACTTATACTCTCCAAAGGTATAGCAGAGGTGAGGCCTTCACACACACTACTCTCCTGTAAACGGCCAAACCAGAAGTATCCAGTTAGAATATGCATCTGTACATTAGAGGAACATTCAAGTAACCATGAAATCCTTGGTAAAATCCTCTAAAACTTAACATAATTATTTAAATATATAAATATATTTAACATGTTAGCCCAAAAGGCTTTTGAACAACACCTTTGGGAGAAAATGTCTTTTCCAAGTATCATAGTTCCCAAACTCAAGACATCCTATGATCAGGATTTTCTGTATCTATATTTGCACTAGTTCTAAGTGACCCAGTGAAGTCTTTTTTGCTATACTGTGTTTACTTTTACAGACTTTACCCTACCGTATATATGCCATGATACTAAGAAACTATCAAGTTCTCCTTCTAGATTCCACCCCTACGCCTCCAAAATCTACAAGTTTAAAAATGAATTAACAACAACAAAAAACACCTTGAAGCTGTGGGAAAATGTGGAGAGAACTAGAGAGGCATATGGTGGAAGGAAGAAGTGTGAATAGGTCCTACAGAATGTTACAATCACTTTGCCAACACAGACTTTAAATACAGGGAATTCTTTGAAATCAGGTTGTGTAGAACCTATAGTCCTCTTAAAAACAAGTTTTGATTCTCAATATTCCGTTTTTATAACAAAACAAATAGATTCAGATCTAATAGATATTTTAGTAGAATACTTTCTACCTTTGGACTGAACTAATTTCCTAAGTACTCTAAAAGAGGTCAAATAGAGCAAACTTTATGAGATGTTGTTATAATTTATCATAAAAGATTCATTAGCATTTGTAAAATTATTAGAATTACTAAAAGCTAAAAACCAAGAATCACCATTTATATTTAAATGTAACAGAAAGTTATGTGGATAATATGAAAATAAATTGTTCAGGTAAACATTTCACTTGAAGACACTCACTATTGCCCCTTCTGAGTAACCGTAGCTTTTTAACAGTGAAACGTCATTATCTTATATCTGAAATTCTTTGGCTGGAATGTTTTAGTAACATAAGACACTCCTGTACATGACAATTCTGACAGAACATAGGGGTTGCAAAGTTATAAAATATTTGATAAAATTTTAAATAAATAAATTTAAAAAATTTTAAAGCCAATCTATCACTAAAAATGGCATAAAATATAAACTTAAGCTAATTTTATAATCTACTGTTATATTAAATAATTTGGGATTATTTTACCTTTTTAAAAGTTTTGTATTTAGCATAGAAATATTTTCTATTGCCACTACAGACATCACGTCAGTTTTAAAACTGGAAAAGAAAAAATAAAATGTAATGAAACAAGTTCAATGTGTGGGTTTGAACCAAGAAATTTCAGATTTCTGTCACTATTTTAAACGGGATTATCTGACTCTGTAGCTAAAATTTTAATTACACCGAGAAAAATTAAAAAAAAAATTTTCCTGTTTGCATTTTTAAAATAAAGCAAGTTTGCTTTATTTATTTATAAACTTTTTAAAAACTGACAAATCTTTTTAATCTATTATCTTTACACAAAATTAAAGAAAAAAAAGCTTTATGGTTTCAGCACCCAAGGTTGAGAACACAAAAAACTCAAATAAATATAGTATGCAAAAAAGCTAAAGATATTTGAAAAGTTAAATGAAGAACATTCTGAAACTAAAACTCATTGCTTTAGCTTTTCTCTCCCAGACTTTCCATTCTATATACTACAGTTGTAGAGATGTCCTCATTTGACTCAGGTGATACTTTTTTCCACACTGTCTCTTTTAAAGCAAGTTCTTGTTGGAGACTTTCATAGTCCAGTGGTCCAAAGGAATGCTAGTTGTTCAAGCAACATACATAATTTATTAGTGCACTTGAGTGAAGAAAGGTCCAAGCTATAAAATGGTATTTTTCAATGAATGTTATTAAAATCTGTTAACATTTTCACCCACCACCATTTGATGTTTAGCTCCATGTTACTCATGTTGACGCTCATGGAAGCTTCTATTCTGTTGACTTTGCATAATTCTTATATATTATTAGAGGTTACTTTGACTGGAACTAATAACATGAAAATTTACTTCGTATATGTATTAAAATATTTCCTTTCTACCTATCAGTGCTTCAAAATTAGTTTTAAGTCTAATTAGGTAATTTTATTATATACATTTTCCATAAGGATGCTAAGAATTTAATTAAACCTCAAAACAAGTCCCTTGGTCGAGTGAACAACAATGAAGACAAAAAAAAAAAATCTTGTTCCTAAAATCTAAGTCCTGATTCTTCATACTAGCTCTAAAACAGTAATATATATGTATAATAATATGAAGCCAAGCACATTAATAAGAAAATAGTACTTTAAGAGTATCAGGAATACTGCATTAAACACTTTTCATAGAAAAATATTTCATCAACAGTGAGTCATAAAACTTATTATGAGGCTTTGTATAAGCCTCTCACTAATACTATAATCCCTTTCCATTTACATATCCATCCATGTCAAAAGAAACTTCAAGACTGTAACTGACAAATATTAACAGTAAAAACAGGCTTTCTTTTTATAGCATATAGCACTTTCTAACATGTCTTAACAGAATCAATTCTTTAAAATATTGCTTAAAATAGCAAAAGAAAAAAAAAGGGGGGGCGGGGAGAGGAAACCCTGCTGCTAGGCTAAACAGTTCCAATTTAAATAAAACAGCAATATTTAATATTTATGAACTACTGGTCCAGGATAAAAATGTCAACAATTTGTTTACACTCATTTTGATCAGCAAAGATATGAGGCCATTACCAATTAAACTTAATTTTATTTAAACCAATGAATCTCATTTTCTCTCTCTTAAAAAAAATATTACATAATAATCTAAATAAGAATTGTGCTTACCCTTTGATCACCACCTTCTCTTCGAGGATCAAGTTTTTTTGCAAAGTGTCTCAAATTATCATAGTTATGGAAATTACACAGAGAAACAAGATCCTGTAAATTAAGAGAACAGGTATAAGAAATTAGCTATTGTTATTTTATAATTTAACAAATTATACTAATACAGTCCAACTTTACTATTTCATGCAAAGCACTACTGCATGTTAATAAAGTAGCATGTTCCATCAAGAGGACTGAAATCAGAATAAGTAGATATGGATACTGCCTGGCCAGTGTGGCTTAGTGGTTGAGGGTAGGCCCATGAACCCAAGAGATCACTGGTTTGATTCCAGGTCAGGGCACATGCCGGGGTTGTGGGCTCGATCCCCAACAGGGGATGTGCAGGAGGGGATCAATTTTGATGTTTCTCTCTTATCAATGTCTCTTGTCTCTCTATCCCTCTCCCTCCTTTCCTCTCTCTAAAAAATAAAAACATATTTTAAAAAAAGATATGGATACAAATTTTGAAATCACTGCTTACTAGCATGATCATAGGACTCAGCAACTCAAATTGTTTAACTTTCATTTCCTATAAAATGGGCATTATAATAACAGGTCATATGAAAGAAATCTTTCAAATAACTATAAAACACCACAAAAATATTTAGCAAGCGCTGGGTCACAACATACAATACTGAACTAGTCAAGTGTAGTTATAATTTTAAATTGCAGTGCTTATTTCCTCAAAAAAAAAAAAATTCAAAAGGTAGTCCATCTATGGATAAAGATATTCAACCATGCAAGATTAAAGATGATACAATAAACTATAATAATCTTAATTTATATTAGGTTTCAAATTACTTCTCCACGTTAGTATCTTTTGCTGAGCTTTTGGAAATGGAACCATAAATATTAAAATATAAGCATCAAACAAATGTAATTTTCTGTGAGAATGGTTATATGAAAGCTGTTTTGGTAGAGGTAATTTGAAGTCCTCTATGAGTACTTCCATGGCTACCTAGTAACTGGCAGACAGGCAGGTAGAATGCCAACAATCAGCAAACTATGAAATTGAGCAAAAAAATAGAATTAATGGATGGCTCTACTTATATGACCATTATTTTCACTAAGAAAACATGCTTACATGACAGAAGTGAATTCCCTTAACACTGTTGCCCATTTTGTCCAAAGGGGGAGACCAGCACATCATGCCCATGACATTGGGGACAACTAAAAGAATGCCCCCAGCAACTCCAGATTTTGCAGGAAGACCAACCTGAAAATAATTTGGAAAAAGGGACATTTTAAAATAAGAAAAGTTATGTCCAATAATAGGTAATTGGTTAAAAAATTATAATATATAATTCTATACAGTAGAATTCCAACCTTTAAAAATGTTGTAGGTATTTACCAACATGTTTATAATGTAGTAAATGAAAGAGTTATAAAACAGTTGGGATATATTTAAATATAGAAAAAATTCTGAAAGATATACTCTAATTTGTGGAGCTATGTTTTTATTTTCTTCTAATTGTTTTATAATAAATATGTATTGCTTTTAAGTACAAAAAATATTTTCAAAAAGTATTTTATGACTAGAAAATAATGAGAAATTATATCTTCTTAAAAGATTCTTTGTGGTATACTGTCAGAGAAATTGTGAGAAATAGAGATAAGATGGTAATTCAAATTAATCCTCTTCAAAACATTTACCTTTATGTTATGCAAAACTTGACAACAATTATGATAAAATACAAAATTAGCATCATCAGGACAGTGTTCTTTAATGGCTTACTAACGTTCAGACATTGAGTTCCTCTTGTGAGAAATAATCTTGCACAAAACTAAACAAAACAAAAAAATCACCTGAATGGGATCTACCAATTTATAGGGAATACAAGGGACAATGGAAGGCATAAGCAAAATCTAGACTGTGAGAAACTGTGCAGCATAAATGACCCAGTTTTTTCAACCAAAAATAACAAGCAAAAAGAAAGAGGTCAAGGGGGAAAGACTATAGATTAAAGAAGAAAAATAAAGGGAGATACAACTAATCATAATGTAAGGCACTATTTGTAGCCCAAGTCAAACACACTGCAAAATAATAATTTATAAGACAATCCAGATTATCTGAACATTGACTAAATATTTTGATGATATGAAAGATTATTATTATTTGTTTTATATGTAAGAATGGTGGTGTGGGTTTAAGAGCCCTTATCATTTAGAATTACAGACTGAACTATGACAAGGGTGGGGGAAGTAGGTGTACATACAGATGAAACAAAATTGGTCATGTATTGATAATTATTAAAGTTGAGTGATGCATAACATTAAATAAATCTGTTTTTCTGTTTTAAAATTTTCAAAATAAAAAATTATTTTAGGGTTTTTGCTTATTGACATAAGCAGAATGAAATAAGTCTATACATTTTACATTTGGCAAATGCACAATAGAGCTTAACACAGTGTATTTTTGTTTTAACTTTAATATACTTTAAGTCCTTTAAAACATCTATGGCTTTAATCAAATGTTAAGCATCACAATATGCACTCTTTCTGAACTTAAGGAATTCTTGAGGTATGCTCCATAATGCTAAACATTAACAATAAAAGTAAAGTCTATACTACCCTGTATATTGGAATGCATTAAAAGAAGTGATGACGTCCTATAATAAAGCTTCAAGTTCTTAAGAGCATCTCATAGACTGCTTAACTCTATTCCTTACCAATTCTATAACAAATTAACCTTGAAAACAAGCCTCTCTCTTAAAAATTAATGTATAATTTTAGAGGCAAAGTTCAAACTGCATTTTTAAAAGAACTAGTCTAGACTAGTTTCTTGCCAGAGAAAATTAAGATTAAACAATAACTTACGTGGAAAGCGAACTGCCCTGAGAAATCATACATGCCACAGGAATGCATCAAACTTAGTGTATTTCGAACTGCTTCAGGGCTCAGTACTCTTTCACCAGTAATTGGGCAGAAACCGCCATTAGCCAGTGTTGCAGCCATCACACTAGCAGATTCACAAGTTACTTCAATGGAGCATAGCTAAAAGGAAGCAAAGACCAAATTCTGAAAATTTAGGCTCACATTATTTTTAGTATTACAGTTGACTTCTAAGATAATCATGTTGCTTTCAATGCGAAAAGTTAGGTGAAATTATGCTACAGAAAATGAAACTGGGGCTCAGTAACTGAAATTAGGTCAGATGGCTAAAAAGTGGCCAGGTTAGACTTTGATTTTACATTGATAGTCTGGATTCCCAACTTGCAGTTCTTCACATTGGGCAGGTGACAAACTTGTGACCTGGACTTCTATCAAAATCTACTTCATAACAACTTTCCTTATATATCCTTTAAGGTTACCAAAAAGGTCAAAATTAAAGCACCTTCAAAATAAAGACAGGCTAATATACGGTAAACTAGAAATTAATCATTTGTTACTATGTAGCTTCACATTACAGACCCATCAGAGGCACTAATGGTATTAAAGCTGTAAAAATGAATTGAACTGGAAGTACTGGGGGGGAGGGGAAAGGGAGGAATATCCAGGAAGACTATCTTAAATTGAGTTCTGTACCACAGCAGATTATGAATGGTCCTCTCCTCCATGAATATGTACAGAGTGGAGCTTGCTGCTCTAACTTCAAAGAAAACCTACTATGTGACACTTCAGAAACAAACTGAGAAAATGCAACTTTAAAATACTATGAACGCTTTGATAAATAACTCCTCGAAACAAAATTTAAAAGCTGAAAAAACAGAGTTCAATTTATAATAAGGAGAAGCCAATTTCTAGAACTGTACATTTTTGACACCTCTTAAATATGTGTTTGCAGAAAAAATTTTCTCTATTACATTCTAAGTCGTGACTTCTCAGGAGATACAGACACGAGAGTATCTTTCCTCTTGGCCTAGAGCCAAGATTTCAGAAATGTCTATATTGTGCAAAAACGAGATACACCCATTTATTTATATACACAATTCATATATTTAAAGTAAATTACCTGGAAATAGAAGTCTAATATACCAACCATGTCTGTGCCTTCTGGAAAACACTGAAAAAATAGAAAGGTAATTAAAAACATAGGAACTCGGGAGAGGCGGAGAGATACACACATAGGTAAAAGATACAAGATTAAATTTAAAATGTACATAAATGTTTTATTTTAATTGAGAACAAAATAGCACATAACCTATAAAAGGGTATAAACATGAAGTAACAAGGAACAATAGAGCAAAATTACATCACATATAGATTTCTAGATACTAATTTAACTGACAAAAATAAACTGATTCATAATTCATAAACCAAGTTACTGGACCAACCACTTAAAAATTTAAAAAAATCAAGTGTAATCAACAATAGTCATTGATACTTTTGAGTGAAAGGGTGAATCCTTACGCAAAATTTGCATTAATATAACTAGTCAAATATTTGAATACTATCAGATACAAATCAATTTAGTAACATTAACACTTTGATAGCATTAACCCAAGGTTGTTTTGCAAAAACTTCTGAACCTTAAATAGTAATAGATAGTTGCTTAAAATTGATTGTTGAGTTCATATCTTTATATATTTTATTAAGTAAAAGAATAATTTGAAATAGAAACAAAATTTAAAAACCTTTTTTTCTTTTAAGTAATATCCTATTGCAAAATTTCGATCTCCACTCTCTCTTTCAGACTGAAACCTAGAAGAAAAAAATAACATTTGCTTTATTTTCTGTAAAAGTATGGTTCTGTAGTTTAATTTGCATATCAAAGTGCAGTATAAAGAACACTGACCTCATAGTCAAAGACTGCTGGGTTCCAGTCCCAGTTCTGTCAATAGGCTTTCTAGCTATGTGGCCTTGGGCAAGTCATATAAGTGACAATTCTTTTGATCTTAATTTTCTCAGCTGTAAAAAGGTTAAAATGAACTAGGCCCTTTCTAACCCTCATATTTTGTGAATAAAGAAGCTAATTTAAAAATTACCAAACATTCCACCATTAAAATACACTAAAAATTACAGAACCTTCTGGCCCCTTCAAAATGACAATAAATAGCCCAGCCGGGCGTGGCTCAGCGGTTGAGCGTCGACCTAGGATCCAGGCGATCGGGGTTCGATTCCTGGTCAGGGCACATGCCCGGGTTGCGGGTTCGATCAATGACTCTCTCATCATTGATGTTTCTGTCTCTCTCTCTCCCTCTCCCTTCCTCTCTCTGAAATCAATAAAGATATATTTTAAAAAAACAAAAAAAAAACAAAAAAAAACAAAAAAAACCCCAAAATGACAATAAATAGTCAATTCCAACTAAGGGAACACATGGAAATTTCACTGAAAGAGGGACACATGAAATGGGCTTTATAGCATTCATTGGATTAACATATTTCAAGGGGAAGCCCAGGCAGCAGCATGCACAAAGTTATAAAGGTATAAAATACAGGATTTCACTGAAGAATAGCAAATATTCTGATGTATCTAGGAAATGGGATTTACGGAGAAGAGTGGAGAAACATCAAACTAACAAAGGAGACTAGGACCAAACTATCAAGACCGATTCGTGCTAAAAAATGTAATAGCTCTTGATTGCCAACAAAATGAAAGCTTAAAGGCTTTTAAACAATTTACCTTGTCAGCTCTACATTTTAGGTTAGTTCTGACATCAGTTGGGAAAGGGGAGAAAGAAACGATGAGTGATGTTATTAGGTGACTACTGTAATGAGGATTACAGGAAGCCTGAACTTAGGTAGTGGTGACAGAAATGAAAAGGAGAGGTATGACCAAACATGAGAGCAGTTGGGCAAGTCTTCAGACTTGATGGGAAAAAAGAGAAAGTGTTACAAAGCCTAGATATCTCACAAAGTCTACAGAAAAAATGGTGATATCAACTGACATGAAGACACCTAGAACAAAGAGCAGTTTTGGAAACAAAGAGAATGAGTTTTGATTTAGATTTAATCCCACAATTTTGGGTATATATACTTGACACTCAACCTAGTGTCCCAAAGGCTGCTGAAAAAGAGCAACTGTGGGTGACACTCATTGATCATTGGTGGACAATCCCTTCTAACTATACATTTTAATAATTCTATAGTCACAAAAACAATGTTGGATATGGAAAAGTTCTTAGAAATAAATAAACATGTCACCGTGCCATGCTTTTTTTAAAAATCCTCATCTGAGGATATGTTTTTGTTGATTTTGAGAGAGAGAGAGGGAAATCAATCAGTTGCTTCCTGTACATACCTGAACCAGGGATCAAACCTGCAACCTAGGTACGTGCCCTGAGAATTGAACCCGAAACATTTTGGTGTACGAGATGACGTTCCAAATGAGCCACCTGGCCAGGGCAACTTGCCAAGCTTTTTAAAAAAATATCAACACTATAGATAAAGGACTAACTACTGAACAATTATCAGTGCCTAGCATACAGTTCTATTCACCACTCTATCGAGTGCCTATTATCCAGGTCTTATGGAGGTCAGTCTAATGGTGATGATTGGGCAAAGACAGATATAGAATAAGATCAATGAAATATAGTAATAAGAGAGCACTGAAGAGGGGTGAGATGAGATTAATGAAAAACTTCCTGGGAAAGATACTTAAGCTGATGAATAAAAGTTGGTAAGGCAGACAACCTGAAAATTTTTGCCCTCTGAAACATACAAAGCATCACCTAATTCGTATTCATGCCAAAAATGTTTAAGCTTTATCTAATTACAGGGAAACAACCAGACCTATGAAAAATAGGGAATATCCACTACAGCCCCTGGGCTAGATCTAACCTGCTGCCTGTTTTTATAAATAAGGTTTTTGGAACACAGCCTCATATTGTCTATGGCTACTTTCCTACTAAAACAGTAGAATTGAGTAGTTATAATAGAGACTACAAGTGTAAAATATTTACTATCTGGTTTTTCACAGGAAAAGTCAGTTAATTTCTGCTCTAGAAAACAACTGGTTGGTACCCTTCAAAAAAAGCCACTTAAAAATTTTTTTAAAGCAAAGGACTAAGGCAGGTGGACTATTTTACTTTTAAAGACAAAAGAGACTTTGGTTAGTTCCTGGGGAAGAAAAAGGCCATAATAGGCATTTAGAGGACATTTGGGGAGATTTACATATTGATTAATATCATATTCTAAAATTAATGTTAATGTCCTTAAGAGTGTAAATGGTATTGTAGTTATGTAGGAGAATGCCCTTATCCTTAGGATATATGTGCTAAGTTATTTAATAGTGAAGTATCATGATGTCTACAACTTAATTTCTAACAGTTGAGAATAAAAACCACCCACACACATGTACATTTACATATATGTACATATATGTGTATGTAGAGATACACACATATTTTTATCTGGAGAGAGGTTGATAAAAAGCAAATGAGACAAAATATTAATCAGAAAAGTAAGTAAAAGATATCCAGATACTCTAGTAAGACCTAGAACCAACAAGGGAGAATAGATTAATTCTAAACACAATGTGTGCATATATATGAAGTAACAAAACAGTATTTAAAATAAAATTCTATAATCTAAATTTTTTTAATTTAAAGAGGAATGACCTGTTATAAAAACCTATGTTATATAGCAGACTCACGTTGCATTACTGAATCCAACATATTCATTACCAGCCATCTTATTCAAAAACTGCATCACCTATAAATCAAAATTAAAAAGTTTAAGTACCAAAAAACAAATATATGAAGAGTGTAGCATAAAAACTGAATTCTATATTGCACTTACATAGTCAAATTTTTCGGCATTATTCACTCCTTGCTGCAAAGAAACGAGAAACAAAAACGTTTATGAGGCCCCACCACAGTTAAGTTTTAAATGAATATAATATAAAAATTTCAAACTATCATTATAATTAATATACTGGCATTAGTACTTTTAAATCTAGGAAATTCTTCTAAAGAAACTTAATATTTACATAAACTATATACATACTCTTTCATTAACACCCATATGTTGAGAATGGATCTGAATTACAAAGGGAATGCTTTATTTTAAGTATGACTTTACCCAACCCAAAATTTACAGAATTTTAAGTACAAGTTACTCCAAATCCCTTATCTTTCATGACAACAGAGAATCTGCTATAAAATGTTATTTAACTTCATATTTTAAAAAACTTAAAATAAAGTTTCACCCTTGGAGAAAAATTAAGTATATAGAAATTATGGTTTTAAATTAAGAGCAATCTAATCATATTTTTAAAATAACCTTAAACCAATATTAGAGTTAGAAAAATGAGTTATGATGCAAAATTAATCTTTTATAATTCTAGTATAAGCAAACATTCTGGATAGATTTTACTAATGCAGAGAAAGCTCTACTTTTAATATCTCACTGGTATATAATAAAACTTGAACTAAAAAAAACCCATATTTCATAGTCTCTAAAAAATTAGCTACATTTGCATTTGGCATTATGCCAATTCAGAATAAGGACGATGTATTGTTTCATTACTGCTATGTCTGACATGTTAGCTACTGCAAATGTCAATAGGCAAAACCTATGTAATGTAGATCAGTTCAAGTAGCCAAATGGTTTCATTTTACCTCAGCGAAGTTTACAAAGCAGTAAGTTGTAGATCTGAAATCAAACGTATTAATTGATGATATGCACCCAAAAGAAACAATACATCTCTAATTTTAAAACAGATTTAAAATAAAATAATCTGACAACTAGTTTTAAAAATGAAAATTTTTAACTTTACCCTCAAAAAAATCCAAAATATTACATTTAAAATTTTATTATGGGGAGAAAACCTGTATGAGAGTATTATTTAACTGAATAAAGCCAGGTTCATTCTCCACTTTATAAGTGGAATAGAATGTGGCTGATAATCTGTGAAACCCTATGAATCAACTTATTTAAGAAAGGATGTGCAATAACATATACAATCTGTAGCTGGAAAGAACACATTTTTTTGTCAAAATTAGGTACTAACAAAGCTTAAACAAGATAAGTATAATTTAGCTACAGCCATATTGTGATCACTATGTATTTTCTCTAAAGCACTTTGACATATTTTAAGTTTTCTTTCCTTATAATACACCAGAAATCAAAATGTAGAAATGTAACTCCAAAGCTGTTCAATGAAAAAATAATTAAAAGAAGAAATTACCAACTTCATTGAACTGTTGCAGTTGTCAAAATATTCCATAGATCCTAATGCTGTAAAATATGTAACAACATTTAAACCACAAAAAACCTTTTTAACCTTTGAAAAAGCACCAAAAAAAAGAAAAAAAGAACATAACTCTTTTGGAAAAGGTTGTCAGCATTTGCATTGTGATGTCACATGAATAATTACTGGTTATACAGTTAATCAATGTAGAACAAGTTACACTGAACTTTCATTCTCTGGCCTAAATTGTGCCTCATAAAATTAACACAGATTTTCTTTATCTAGCTGTCGTGTTTAATAATAAAAAATAAGATAAAAACTTTTCCAACTCTAGACTGTGGTCACATTCTTGTAGCTTACTAACTTCAAGTACAATTAAATTTTGCTTCTATGCTGTTTTTAAGAAACTGTTGATATTTACCAATGTCTATCATTATAAAAAATTGGGGTAAGCTGCTTGAAATGTTCTAGGCAAATTATGTAAAAAAGCAAAATAAAATATTCAAATGATTGTGTTGACTCAAGAAAGTCTTTCTAAAACTTCCCCATTTAAATGTAAAAGCTTAATGTTTGTTCTTATTATCTATCCTGGAAATAGCATTTAACTTAAGTCAATAAATATATTTGTCCCTATATCTCTTGGAAAGATTTCATGTACCTTAGGGATATATGGAATCTAACAATCATTATAACATGTCATGTTGTTGTAATTTTGAAAACGTTACTGTATAGTTTATTTGCAAAGATAAATACACTCCATACAAAAAAGCAAATACGATAAAAGAAAAACCCCACCATCATTATCAAGTAGTGGGGTGCAGCACTGTACAAGAACATATGAAAATTAAAGATAGGAATAGGTACATGGGGCTGGTCATACTAAGCTGTTTATTTTGTGTATGTTTGAAAATTTTCATAAAATGTTAAAGGAAAAAAGTTATTTGCTAATAATTTCTCAGGCTAATGTACAAAATTGTTACTTGAGAATATTTTCTTTCCCTTTAAAACAGTAATTGGTTTTGCCCGGCCAGGTGTGGCTCAGCGGTTGAGCACTGACCTAGGATCCAGGAGCTCGGGGTTCGATTCCCGGTCAGGGCACATGCCCAGGTTGCAGGCTAGGCAGCCCATCAATGACTCTCTCATCATTGATGTTTCTCTCTCTCTCTCTCCTGTTCCTTTCCTCTCTCTGAAATCAATAAAGATATGTTTAAAAAACAAAACAGTAATTGGTTTTTAATTAGCTCATGTATCAGTGGATATTTTCTATTACTAGAATAAGCTTGATTCTCTTACTATTTTAAATGTTTACAGATGTACGAGTTGAGAAATATTGCTGACAATAGACGAATAGATGGAAATAGAAAAGGTTTTATAGCAATGTCACTCAGTATTTTACACATTTGCCTCATTACATACAAAAGGCAGTAATCCTCAAGAATTATGCTTAATGCTGTTACAAAAACTAATTTGATTAGATTCTCTTTCCATTTTGCTGAAAGAACTGGAAACAACCTGGTATTACAAGAGGACTCGTTTCCAGGCATTACAGTGATTCAAATCCACAATACCACTGACTCCATTATTTTAAAATGTTCTCTTTTATTGGTATCTGAGAGGTTTAAGAACCTGAAGCAGTGCACCACAGTAAAATTTGGGACACGTGAGAAGTATGCCGTTCTTTTAGAAAATGGAAGGAAACCTGGACCAAAGGCAGATTAACTTTTAAAAATGCATATATGAAAATTGAGATTTGGAGATTGATAATCTAAAACTATTAATGCTCCTTTTTCTCTTGGAAAAAAAATCCTATACTCAGGGGACATGTTTACCCCAGTTTTAAATCACTGTGCAGCATTTATTAGATATTGTGTTATTTTAATCTTTAAAAAGTTACAGTAAATACAGCAGAAAAACTTTTTAAAAATAAACTGGATAAAATACATTCACCAAATTTCTAATTCATTGACCAAATGACTTTTAAAAAGCAAACCACACGGCTTGTTTGAAAAGGGTAGTTATCAGACCCTAAGATTAGAAAATTATATATATATATTTATTTTTCTATAAACATACCTATCAAAGATACTAAAGAATCTAATATCTAAAATCTAAAGTTTCCTTTAAAGAAAACTTTTTGAATGAAAATTTGATAAAGAGGCAGGAGTTTTAATACTGGCTAACAAAAGAACGTAACTATATTATTGGACTGTTTTGACAACCTGTTTTTACAACATATTTGGGAACTGAATCATGTATTATACAATTTAACAGGTGAAAATATCAGTTAACAGGGATAAATTTAATATAAAAATGGCATTTAAAGTCATTGTAATAATGTTCTTTTGTATGTAAATGCCTTGATACCATTCACAAGGCATCGAGATGTAAAAGCCAATTCACAATTAGAGATCTTTGAGAAAAGAGAAATAGAAGAGGCAAAAAGAAGTAACTGAAAATTTTATAACATACTCCCAGTTTAATCTTGCCACAGAAAATGCTTTAAACACTAAATTCTTGGAGGATTATAATAGATATTACAGATAAAAAATAATGTTCTAAATCTAGTTTTTTCATAGATTAACTCTAAAAATAAAGCAACAGAAAAGTGAATTCTGTTGGCAATAAATTATTTTATTTCATTTATTTCAAACCTTGAATACATCAACTGATATAAACATTAAGTAAATAAACCAATATAATCCTTTCTTATGAATGTCACTAAGTCCAAGGCATCATCCATTGCTCTCCAAAGCCACAAACTGTCTTAAAAATGTGGCTTACAAGCAAGTCTACCAGGTTATTGCTAACATGATCAAACCAAGCATTACATAGATATTAACTAAATCTGTCTTGATTTTCATGGAGCATGATTAAATTGTTTTAAGAGAAAGAAGGGGAAGAAAATCTCTGATTTTTTAAATTAAAAAATACTTCTGATTAAAAAGACTGAGCTTCTTCAAATGACAAAAACTGCAAACTACCACTAGAATAGAAATGCATAAACAAAGACGACAACGTAACTCTTTACTTTAAAAAAAAAGCAGAAGTGTGGCAATAATCTTGTAATGTTATCCTCATTTTCGTACCATAACCCTCAAGTTATCACCAGACCTAACTTTTAAACTGCAACTAGGTGAAACTTTTACCACTGGAATGAAAAAATTTACATAAGAATACTATTTCATCTAGAACAACTGTGCTCCTTTCAAATTTATTTTTCCTTTAAATCAAGTATCAACATTATCATCATCCAATAAAACAAACTGCATCAAAAAGTATTCCTTTAAATTTAGTAGCTACCATAGAGAAAAAGAGATGAAGTATAGTACCTTTATGTTTTTTTAATTATGTGCATTTTATGTACAAAATGACATTTCTTTTATTAAGGTATTTACCTATATAGCTTTGTTTAAAATTTTAAATATTGGCGGTTTCCTATAAGTTTAGTAGTTAAGAATTTATGCAACAGGTTCCTTCTGTCCAAATCCTCCTTTTTTTCCACAATCTGCTAATCCTTTTGAACACTTGCTCTGCCTCTTCCCCCATTTCCTGAGGATCACCACCAATCCTACAAGGAAAAAATATCAATACTACAAAATTATGAAATAAAGAGTCTTACTAAAGACTCTACTTATTTGTGTGTGTGTATGAGAAGGAAAGTAATGTGAAGAGACTATTTTAATAGCACCATAATAAAGTCTTGAATTTTGAAAGGAAAAAAAATAGTTTTAAGGTCATTAACTAAAAAGAGCTAAAAAAGGGAATTCATATCTAGTAGCCATGATAAAATATCCAAACTCTGGGCACTCCCTGAGAAGAGGTCTTACAGATAGTAAGCACCAACTAATGTCTCAAGAATGACTATACAAGGCACTGAAAATTAGATGTGACTTTTAAGCCAATAAATTTATATCTTTTGTATAAATTAAAATTCAGAAAATAACATCTCTGCTGCTTGGACAATATAACTGTGCTAGGTAAAGACAAAGATGTAATTAAGAGAAACAGCAAACAGAAAAAAACAGGAGATTTAGCTCAAGCCAATTCTGCTGCTGTTAGAACCTATCCAATCTCAGTTTCCTCACTGCATCTACTAAAGTAAGAGAGGGCGGGACCTGAAGACCCTTTCGGCTATGATTTTACTACCTCAATTTCAATTACGGTTTCATAAATATCACATGATCATATAACTTATAGAGATGACGTACAAGTAATTATAAGAGTTTTTAATTCTTTTTTAGAGTCTAAGAAAAGTATTATAAACTAGGGGTCAGTTTTACAGAGGTACATCAGGCTTACCCCTCCAAGATTTAGATAAACATCATTAAAATACAACAAAACCCCCTTGTGAAACACCTTCTAAAACAAAACAAATCAAATCAAAATAAAAATTCAAAGAAAATGACCTTAAATATTAACCACACCCAAAGCTTCATTTCCAGTAAATTTAAAACTTTTTATAAATTTAAAAATCACTGATCAAATTTGTAAATACAAGATGACTCAGTTAAATTTTTGCACCATTGGACACTGAACCACAACTGTGTATATTTTGTTTCTTTAATTCTGTGATTAATATGGCTTAATGTATAGTTTATGGCTTGTGAATGAACATAGTAAGTGAAATTAATGAAGTGATGATGTGATATGACCAGACATGCATTTTCCACATGCAACATTTCAGTGTGGTATATTAAACCCATGAATTATTAAACAGAATATGCATGCAATTAAGGAAGGCTCCTATTAATCATTTACATATGCCCTTTCCTGATAATACTATTGTTGTGCCATGTTAATCTTTCTCCAGTGTAAGAGTTCTTAAACTAGGATACTTGGATCAGCTTCAAAGGGTCTGTGAACTCCCAAAAATTTATATAAAATCATGGTATGTGAATAATTTTTCTGGGAAGATCCAAAAGAGGTTCAGAACCATACTAGTGGTTTTTTCATCAAGCATTAACACATACATTGTATTATTATAACTTTGCTTACCTCTAATTCGAGTTTGCTTGTTCAAACCTAACAATTATTCATGAGACTTTTCTCTCATTGCAGTATTTATTGCATTTCATTGTAAGGACCCATTTACTTGCGTATACTCCATACTATAATGTAAGCCACCTGAAGGCAGGACTGTGCCGAGCATATATTCATATTATAATTTTCTACAATAAGCAAATAGTTTCTTTTCACCTCAAACTGACAACTTTTCTCTTATATAAAATAGCCATGAATAACTAGATGTTATAATGAACAAAATGAAAATTTCCATAACTTATTAAAATTATTTACATTAAAAAATAATACTTGGCTATATAGTATCTACCTCACTATAGTTAAAAGGATTAAGTGGGTCAATAGTTTTGAAACATTTGCCCTAAAATAAAAGCTAAACATATATATTCTTAAGATAGTAGTCTTTACTTTAAAGGCCTTTTCTCATGAACATATAAAATTCATGAAAGTTAACAGAGGACTTCTAGTATACAAAGTAGATGAATTTTTATTAATTGGGCCAAGAGCATAATTCATATTCAAACACTTTTTGTCTAACCAGGATATCACATCCTCAGTAATGCATCTACAAAGCCATGAATTTTTTATTTCAAGCTTGGAATACATAGACACAGATTTATTAAAGACAGTACATAAATGTTCCAAACACAAATGAAATTTATTTGCATATAACTAATATTTATAATTAGAAATTAAAATATAAACAGTATCACACAACAGAACCATTTCAAATACTTATTTCAAACAACATGAGAGCTTCCAATTATTAAGGCAAACCAGACACTAAAAAAAAAAAAAAATTAAAAAAATTCAAAACACACAGTACAAACCAAAGCATAAGAAAAATTACTGTAACTTAATAATTGGAATAAGTCTTATTTATTTTAGTTACTATATGATTGAAATAAAACAAAACAAGTTCAAATGAAAATCATAATTAAAGTTCATGAAAATATAAAAGACTTAAAAATATTCAAGGGGAAATGTACTTTGTCTTAACACAAAGTATTAGAACATTTCTTCCTAAATGATGATGAGAAAGATTAAATGATAAAATGTTTTTAACTCTGTTTACATCTGTTCATTCTAAGAGAGACAAAAGGAAGGGAAAAGAAAAAAAAATATCAAAACTTTAAAAAGAAAAACTTATGCCTATTGTTCAGCAGCGACTTTATGAATTTTCGCCAGATCTTCAGGTCAAGAATAACTTAAAATTTAGAATGAGTCATCTGTTTTTAATTTTGCCCTTGAAATTACATCATTTATTATTATATGAATAGATATCCTAATTTTACACAAGATTAATTTTTTAACACAAAAGAAAACTTTTTAACAGTTCTACATAAATAATACAAAATTCACATTTATGCCTTAGTTATTAAAAAAAGGAAATGTCAACATTTTACCTTTATTAATGAAGTCACAACAATTGCTCCAGCGTTTACCATAGGATTATGTGGCTTGTCTGTAAAGATATAAAAGCAAGAGCACTATTTCAAATACCTGATATCATTTTCTGTGATGATTCTTCCCATGAATATATATCTATTTCTTTATGTAAGCCACTGTTACAGTTCTTTTTTGGGGGAGTAGAGGAATGCATTTAAAGTCACTTACATATTGAACCTATAATACACCTCTAGGAAGTGGCTATAATGATTATATAGGCAAACAAAGATTCATGTACAGAAAGGCAGTGATTAGTAGTGTTAAGAGTACACCCAAGTTTCCTAATTCTGCCATTTATTAGCTATTGTGCCTCAATTTTCCCATCTGTAAACTAGGATAACAATAGTGCCAACATCTCAGTGAGTCATAATGCTTAAAGAGAGGATTCTGGTCAAGATAGAGGAATACAGGTAAAGGTGGTACTGGCATCCTTCAACAATCACATCAAAATTAAAATTAAATTACAATACAACTGTTACTGAGAACTGCCTGAAATCTAACTGACCAGAAGTTCTATAACTAAGCATATACAGAAGACACCAAATGGAGACTGGTAGGAGGGGCAGAGACTTGAACAGGCTAGTTCCACACCCATGTGTGGAGGTTAAAAATTAGGAAGGATATCTCAGATTCAGAGGCCCTCTGAAAATCAAGGGGTCCCAGGCCCACACCAAGCTCCCCAGCCCAGGGTTCCAGTGCCAGAAAAATAAATCTCTATAACTTCTGGCTGTGAAAACCAGCAGTGATTACAGATAAGACAGAAGGCTGCTGGAGTCCTTGGAATTCCTATCAAAGGGCCTGCATGTGGACTTACTTAGACTCACTCACTCTAAGCTCCAGTGCTGGAGCAGCAGCTCAAAAGGCACCAGGGACATATAGGGAGGAACTGAATTGTCTATCTTTAGGGCAAGGGCTAGAGGGACAGCTTTCTCACAGGCGGAAGTGCTGGCATTATTTCTTTGCTGAGCCCGCCTGCTGCAGTCTCAGGCAGGTGCCATATCTGAGTTTCCATCAACCTATCACTGTTCACCCTGCCCTGGTGATTCCCTGAGACCCCCCCACACCCAACTTGCAGGTCCACCCAAGTCACTTCCAGTGGCTTTTCCATACAGCTTTTTTTGGTTCATGTTGGGACTTCCCAAATTCTTTCAAAGGTCCACAAATCCCAAAGCAGCAGCATCTGGCCTCAGCATGCCACATACCTCTAGCGAAGTGAACCTGGCCTGGCAATAGCAGCAGCTGGACTCCATCTGCAGCTTGGCCTCTCTTGGGCACCTCCAAGCCCAGCACAAGTAGCAACCATCTGTAGCAACCATTTGTAGCTCATGCCAGAAGGCCCTGGGCCGGGAAGAGGCATCAGCTCATCTTGGCCTGCACCTCCTGGGAGGCCCCAGAGCCAGCACACCTGGTGGCCAGTTTCAGACCATGCAGAGCACCACACAACCACCTCCACAAGTGACACACTCAAGAGGTGGACTAGGCCAGTACCACAGCCCCACTGAAGTGAGATCTGCTGGGTGGGGTTGGCCCCTGCACATCAGCAACTCCACTATAAGCACAGCTGGTCCTCGTAGCCAATCAGCCTGGGGATCAATCCCTCCCATCACTCAATTACAACAGTAGGGTGTACACAGCCCACTGGAGGGATGCACCTGGAACACCCAGCTCAAGTGACCAGGGAGGCTGAACAACTAGGCCCTACAGGACACCTACTATACATAGGCCACCCTACCAAGACTGGGAGACACAGATTTACTTAATACATAGAAACAAACACAGAGAAGCAGACAAAATGGGAGTGACAAAGAAACATGCCCGAAATAAAAGAACAGGAGAAATCTCTAGAAAAAGAAACTAAATGAAACGGAGTCAAGCAAACTGCCAGATACAGAGTTCAAAACAGTGGTTATAAGGATGCTCAAAAAACTTAGTAACAACTTCAACAGCATAAAAAAAGGACATAGAAACCATAAAACAGAACCAGTCAGAAATAAAGAATATAATAACTGAAATGAAAAACACACTACAAGGAATCAATAGAAGATTAGATGAAGCAGAGAATCAAATCAGGGATTTGGAAGACAAGGTAGCAGCAAACACCCAATAAGAGCAGCAAGAAGAAAAAATATTTTTTAAAAATGAGGGTGGTAGTTTAAGGGACTTCTGGGACAATTATCAAGTGTAAAAAACATCCACATCATAGGAATATCAGAAGGAGAAAAATGAAAGCAAGGGGTTGAGAACCTATTTGAATAAATAATGACTGAAAACTTCCCTAACCAGGTGAAGGAAAAATACACACAAGTCTAGGAAGCACAGAGAATCCCAAACAAGATGAACCCAAACAGGCCCACATCAAGATATATCTTAATTAAAATGCAAAAGGTTAGGACAGAGAGAATCTTAAGAGCAGCAAAAGAAAAGCAATTACTTTCATGGTGTCTTGACATCATCAGGTTTATACTCTAGGGCAGCGATTTTCAACCAGTGAGCTGCGGCAGGTACACCAGTGTGCCATAAGAATTTTTAAAACGTGCAAAACCTCTTTCAGGTGCACTGACCTCTTTCTCCTTAGACTGCCATATTAAAAAAATGACAACAGCCAACACAATAGCTGTCCGGTGCACCACAGAATTTTAGTACATTGCTGCTCTAGAGCGCTATGAGGCAGCTGATGTGTTATTACAAATGGTACCACAAAAATGTGGGCCTTCAATATTTTCTAAATCATATTCAGCAAATACTACATAAGCTATACTCAAGATCTTTCAAAGAACACAAACATTTCATGGCAATGACAAGATCAATTTTCAGATGTAAGCAACTGCTCCCTCTGTCTTTGGCCCAAAAGTCAGATATATGAATGCTCAGAAACACACCAGAGATATTATAATGTAACATAAGCATTTACTGCAGTGTAAAACCTCAGACTAAAAACCTGTGACTGTAAAATCTACCTTTTTCCTGCTCTGCCACAACGTGGAGATAATTGAAGGGTTTAATTTAGAATTTTTAATTAAAAATATTTATAGCCTGGCCAGTGTGAATCTGTGGTTGAGCATCGACCCATGAACCTGTAGGTCACGATTCGATTCCCGGTCAGGGCACATGCTCAGGTTGCAGGCTCGATCCCCAGTAGAGGGCATGCAGGAGGCAGCCGATTGATGATTCTCTCTCAATTTGATGTTTCTATCTCTCTCCCTCTCCCTGCCTCTCTCTGAAATCAATAAGACATTTAAAAAATATATTTATGACATAATAACAGTTAAGCTAATTAATAAAGGCTGTCATTTAATGACAAATATTAGCTTGGTATAATGAAAAAATGGATAAAGGCAACATTTAAAATTTATCAATATTTTTTTTAACTAGAATGCACAAAACTGATTAATTTTACACATATTTATTCTTGCTCCAAGGCAATATCATGCAGAAAGTTCTTTCATATTATACTAGAAAACACTTTTCAAACTGCGAATATGAACCTTAAAAATATGTGGTTCATAATTGAGGCTATGTCAAAGCTAATGCATATACTAAAGAGTTAAAAAGTATTAATGTTCAGTTTAATATAAATATTTATATTTTAGGTATTACTGGTTTAAGCCTGCACTGCCCACTTATACAACCACCCAAATTTTGTTATTTCTATAAAATTCAGTTCTATCTTCCTAATGTAAATTAACTCAACTCCCTTTCTTTCTCAAATCTGCTATACATATAAACCAACATATACATTCTGGCTTCTGTCAATTACATACTTATAATTAGCAGTATGCAATGCTTGAGTTTGTCTTCTTTTTCCATGTATCTGATGTACGTAATTGTTTTCTGTATCCTTTAGTATTAGCTAGATGTTACTCTAAGAAACAAGGCCCATACACCCTCCACAGCTGTTAACACAGGGGAAGAAGGCTATAAAAATATTTGTTGATTAACCTAATTTCTACTACAAGGTAGAAAAAGACTTCGCTAGGAGTTGGTGGTTTCCAAAAGTGACACCTCCATCAAGTAACTTATTTCTTCATTTATAATAGAAAATATCAGCCAACTACCCACTATAGGACTAAAACAGTTTATGCTGTAAAGCATTTTAAAACTACTGATATAAAAAGAGTAACTACTATAATTTCTTTATTCATTATATTCATATTAATCTTATCCCAATCTTAGGCAAATCCCAGTGTGATATTTTACTGTAAAATATTTCCATATAGGTGATTATAAAGAGAAAATCTTACTCCCTGCCCCCATCTTCTCCTTATCCCACTTTCCAGTGATATGAGATGCCTAAAATAACTTTTTTTTTAAATATATCTTTATTGATTTCAGAGAGAGGAAAGGAGAGGGAGAGAGAGATAGAAACATCAATGATGAGAGAGTCACTGATTGGCTGCAGCCAGCAACCCGGGCATGTGCCCTGGCCGGGAATCGAACCCTGATCGCCTTGATCCTAGGTCGATGCTCAACAGCTGAGCCACGCCCGGCTGGGCTAAAATAACCATTTTAAAAAGTAGGTGATTAAACCATTTCTATGGGTTTCACAGAATTCTATGAAAAATGAAAGTATGAATGCTTTCAATTTTCTTCAAAGGGGAGGGGAGGGAAGAAAGAAAAAATTAACCACTTAAGTTTACATAGGAAAGTTAAGATATTTCTTTTTCTGACCAACTTTTATGTAATTCTTACCATCTTCATTTAAGAACAGTTTGTTGAACCTTAATCCACTTGGCTCTTTCCCAACATACCGATGCACATATTCTGTTCCAAGATCATTAACAGCAATGGCATATTTCAAAGGTTTTACACAGGACTGAAGACAAAATGGAACTTTGGTATCTCCAATAGAATGCCTATTTAAAAGCAGATTAAAAATAATTAGGATAAACCGGAATAAAAGTAACTTAATCACTGAAGTTGTTAT